GGAGGGGCTTGGGGAAGACAGGAACAGATGGGTTGGCTTTGAAAGATTTCTTCTGGGGTGACCTGAGATGTGGCTCCCCAGTGAGAGAGAAAGGGTGGGGGGCCCTGTCAGCACCTCAACCTGCTTCTCTCTGTTCAGGGACGAAGAAGACACAGCCAGACCTGAGAAGGCCCGGTCCTCACCACTCGGCGGCAAGATGAGCAGCCCCTTCCTCCAGCCGGCCCTGGACCCCACGGGGCCCACCTACAAGCAGGGCATCCTGGCTCGGAAGATGCATCATGATGTGGACGGCAAGAAGAGTGGGTGTCGGCTGCCGTGCGGGGCCTCTGTCTGTGGGGGTGCGGGGGCTCTGCTCAGGGACACGTGCTGACGTGTGCACAGGGTAACTGCCTCGACGGTGACTGTGTGAGGCACAGCCGGGAGGGTGGGGGCAGACCCAGGAGGGACCCGCCATTCCTGCCCCTGAGCCCGGTGCTGAGGCAGAAGCCAGACAAGCACGTCGGTGTGTGACTGTAGGAAGGGCCAGATCAAGGATGGGCTGTGGAGGGGGCGAAGCTTGGGGTTCTGTTTTGGGGTGGATGTGGGAGACAACGGGTTCAGGCTCCTGGGAAATGATCAATCTGGGCCGAACCTCGGAAGGTCTGGGTATCTGAAGCTGGGCAGAGGGTGTCCCTCATGAAGAAGGAGCAGACATAGTTTGTTCCAAACATGGGGCGTGTGGAAGGACGCTGGGAAACGCACTGGGGGCAGCATCGCCCAGGTCTGCAGCTGGGCCTCATGCCCAGATGGCTGGAGCTGTAGAGCAGGGCAACAGCATGACCAGGGCACCAGCATCCCACAGGCCCGTGCACGGCGGTGACCACAGGGAGCAGGCCCTCTCCTGCCCAAGGGCTCCAGCCCCGTGCCTCTCGGGAAGGGCCCAGGAAGTCGAGGTCATCCGCAGGGCCCCGAAGGATGTCCGAGCTGGGGCTGTGCTCGCGGTGGGTGTGTCTGGAGAGGGGATGGTCTGTCGAATTTGTTGTCTGTCAATAGTTCTCATCTGTTTGGGTTTCCACACGTGACTGCCTGTGTGTAGGGCGTGGCACATGCCTGTTTGTGACGGTGTTTTGTGCGTCTGAATGATTCTGTGCACCTGGGGGCTGGGGGTTGGAGCTGGTGTGAGGGGTGAAAAGCGGGGGCCTGGGCGTGTCTGCGGGTATCTGGGTGGGGTGCCCCCACTCACCTGTGCGTTCTGCTCCTGGGCAGCGCCATGGGGCAAGCGTGGCTGGAAGATGCTCCACACCTTGCTCCGAGGGATGGTCCTCTACTTCCTGAAGGTAGGCAGGGTGTCCACATTCCGATGGGGGGGGGGGGACGACAGGGGAAGGCCCAGAACGGTGGGGGGCCGCTACTGAAAACCTCTTTCCTGAGCCGCTGTGCCCTGTGGCAGGGAGAGGACCACGGCCCCGAGGGGGAGAGTTTGGTGGGGCAGATGGTGGACGAGCCCGTGGGGGTGCACCACTCGCTGGCCACGCCGGCCACCCATTACACCAAGAAGCCACACGTCTTCCAGCTTCGGACTGCCGACTGGCGCCTCTACCTCTTCCAGGCACCGTGAGTCTGGGTGGGAGACAAGCAGAAGGGCCCCCTTCCTGTCCCCTGAGCCCTGCTCCTCTGGGGGCTGCGGCCCCGCCCTGATGGGGCTGCCACCTGGACAGCAGACCTCAGGGGCCCTGCTGAGGGGCTCTGACCGCACACCAAGGCAGCTCCTGCAGCCACGCCCGCCCACGGCCCACTTGGCCAGGGAGGGGCTCTGCCCTGTCAGCCCAGGTCAGCCTCCCAGTTTTGAACAGAGGACTCCAGGGTAACGATGACATCACCATTTTTTGGGCATTTGATGTAAAATCTGTTGCCGTCCGGATTTTCCTCTTTGGTGAAGGGAAAAGGCACCCGCGGAGGTCAGCCACTCTGCTAGACACAGGGCTTCTGGCTTCTTGGGGCTCCAGTCCTGAGATGCTGGACTGCCCTGCCCTTAGAACACTGGAGCTGGGGGCGGGGGTAAGCGACAGGACAGACTCAGAGGCCCGGGGGACCCCTGGGGACCCGCCGCCTCTCTGCCCTCAGCACTGCCAAGGAGATGAGTTCCTGGATCGCGCGCATCAACCTGGCCGCCGCCACGCACTCAGCGCCGCCCTTCCCGGCCGCGGTGGGCTCCCAGCGGAGATTCGTGCGGCCCATCCTGCCCGTGGGCCCTGCCCAGAGCTCGCTGGTACGGCCTCGGGGAGAGGCGGGTGCGGCAGGGGGTTGGGGGTGGTGCGCGCACTGGAAGACTAGAGCGGAGATGGGGGCGCGGGGCTGCGCACCTGGCCCCGGAAGGAGGAGGGCTGCTGCTGAAGCTGCACACCTGGCTCTGGGACCTGAGGGGTTGGGGAGGGGAGGGGGGGGGGCGCTGCGCTCCTGGGCCCAGAAGGAGGGGGAGATCGGGATTGCTTCTCCCACCGCCTCCCGCAACTAGGAGGAGCAGCATCGGTCCCACGAGAACTGCCTGGACGCTGCCTCCGACGACCTGCTGGATCTGCAGAGGAACTTACCGGAGCGGCGGGGCCGCAGCCGGGAGCTGGAGGAATACCGCCTGCGGAAGGAGTACCTGGAGCACGAGGTGAGCCGCCGGCCCCCGTCCGCCCCCTGGTGGCCGCGTCCGGCCTTGCAGCCTTCGCTCCTCTGTGGCTCAGGGCAGGCGAGGTGATGTCTGCACTCGCTTCGCAGGGCGTATCCTGTTCTGGGATCACGGACCAGCCGCTTATCTGAAACGCTATTAAGGGACATTATTTTTATAACTGTTTTCTCCTGAGAGTATATTTGGCAGGAAAAAGTATTTTATATTATTTCCCCTAATTCCTACGTAATAATAATAGGCTGTATTTGTGGCGCTTGTATTACTTGCTCGGATTATCTTGTTAAATTATCTAACAACTCTGGGGTAGGGACTATGACCCTCCTTTTACAGATGAGGAAACTGGGGCATCGAGAGAGCAAATAAGTCACCCAAACCTGATCAGTGTAGATGCTACTCCAGTCTTAACGAAGGAATGACCTTTATTAGCTCTACGATCGACCCGAAATGTCTTAACCCCCAACCCCCCACCCCAAACTCTGCTCTGGCCTGCCGTTGGTGCACATTCTAGAACCTACGCAGCCAGTGCAGGTGAGGGGTAGTGTGACAACAGAGGGGCCAGAGGTGATCCAAAGGCAGAGATCAGAGACGCAATGGTCAGCGTCACCTGCTGGCTGTCCCACCCTCACCTCCTGGTCGTGCCCTCTAGCTTTTTGTTGCACTCGTGGCAGTGAGCGCCCCATTTCCCAGAGGCCCCGGGTGTGGGCCACAGGTCCCAGGTCTGCCTGCAGAGCTCCAGCCCCTCCCACCACAGACCAGAGGGGTCTTTAGCAGCCGCCAGCCCTCTGGAGCCCTCCTGTCCTCCTTTACGAGCAGGGTCGTGATGGTGCCCCTCCCAGTCTCCCAGGCTGGGACAAGGAGACGACCTCATGGGGTGCCTGCTCCCCCGCCCCCAGTGCTGGGATGACGGCCTCATGGGATGGAGGGTGGGAAAGCACCGACCAAGCTGGAAACCGGATCTGGAGGGGCTGGTTACAGAGTCCTTAGGGGTGTGAGCAGACGAGGGCTGTTAGCATCATGCTCTCCAGATGCCAGTTGTTAACACGCCGCTCAGACTCAGCCAGGTCTCAGCGCAGGCGTGAGCCGTCGTGTGCAGCGCTGGTCTCAGGCCTGCTGGGTCCTGGCCTTTCGGTGTCTGGGAGATGTTGGTTACAGCGCACACGGTGTTGGCCGTTAGAACAGGGCTGGCTAATCCCTGTTACTGTAAGACTATCCAGATAGTGGCAGGGCTCTAACACGCTACTGCTCTGTTCTGCAAAGCCTGGTTACAGGTACAACACAGGCGCTAGCTGTCGGTCCAGCCCTCTCTCTGCAGCAGTTTTTATTGCCACAGCTTCATACACATGTTATCTGCCCGTCCCCCGCAATTCCAGCCTCCTCCCCACCTGGAGCCAGGCGGTGCTTAAGGTGGGGGTGCCTGTGTGTTGCAGAAAACCCGCTATGAGATGTACGTGCAGCTGCTGATGACCCGTCTGCACTGCCCCTCGGATGACCTGGACCTGTGGGAGGAGCAGCTGGGGAGGGAAGCCGCAGGCCCCCAGGAGCCCAAGCCCAGCCTGAAGAAGTCCCACTCCAGCCCCTCCCTGCACCAGGACGAGGCCCCCACCACCGCCAAGGTGAAGCGCAACATCTCAGAGCGCAGAACCTACCGGAAGATTATCCCCAAGCGGAACCGCCATCAGCTGTGAAGCTTCACTCACAGACCTTGGCCCCTGCTCTGGGGCGGACCTGGGATGAAACCCTGTGGGATGAAGGGGAGGCCCCTGCTCTGTTGAGTAACAGCCCTCTCTGAGCTTGCCGGAGTACTGCTCTGCCCTGCTCTGCCCCGAGTCAGGTCCTCAGCCGCCCTGGTCCCTGGCCACTCCCTAGGGAAGAGAGAGACCAAAGATTTGGCTCCACTCCCAGAGTTTGTCCCCTGTCACTCTTCACTCCTCCAAAATTGAGAACGGCCCCTTTTCCTGGGTCTGGGGCAGCTTAGTGCTTGTTGGGGAAGCAGAGCAGATGGTACCTGCGCTTCCAGGAGAGACCCTGGGGCAGCCGAGGCCTCTGGGCAGTCAGGCCCCCGGGGATGGTCTTGCTTTGGGAATCAGGTGACCTGCTGGGAGAGGCCTGGGAAGACACCCCCACCCCCCCCACCCCCAGCAAACTTCCTGTCGCCCAGGCCCTGCTCAGGGTGGGGCCGCTGTCAGGGGCAGGGCCTCGCAGGCAGGCAGGCAGACAGGCGGCAGGGCTCCCCGAGGCTGGCTCTGGGGACTGCACCTTTGTCTCCTCATCCCTACAGTCGGCCCTGCACCAGGGCCAATGAGAGCGCCCCACCTTCATGCCCAATTGCTAATCAACAGAGCAGAGCCAATGGCCCCAAAGCGGTGGGGGCTCCAGGGCTCTGGGGAACCCTGAACAAGGGGCCTTTGTGTCCCCAGCGCCAGGAAAGAGGCTCAGGTCCCTGGGGAGGCTGAGGAAGAGGTGGTGACACAGCCCCTGGGGCTCTCCTGGCAGGAGCTGCCGCTGTGGAAGGGTTGAGAGTCATGGTGGAGGCCTGGACCCCCTCCCCACACCCCAGCCCTTAAAGCTCCATTCCCCAGGGGCACCAGGCCCCTCTGGGCCCCTGCCCTTCCTGTATGTCCCCTGGAGCTGTCCTCTGGCTACTTTCAGCTGGGCCTGTTCTCAGGGTGGGGCAGGGGGTGGGGAGGGCTCTGGACACCCACAGATCTGAGGCTGTGCCAGTGGGAAGGAGGCTGGGCTGGGGGAGCAGCCACCATTGTCTCTGTTCAGCCAAGTGTACCCACAGGCTGCCCGCCAAGAGGGGCCTCTGCTGCCTGCCTGCCGCCTGCTGGCTGACGCACGGCCTCTCCACCTTCCTGCTGGGCCTCCCCCTCCCGTCCACGCTTGTAACCAGCCCTGTGGCCTGGAACTCCCCCAAGCTGGGCTGGCCCTGGGGGGCCACGAGAGGTTTCTGACCAGGGGCTGAGCCATGCACCCAATGGGTGTGCAATAAATACAGGCCAATGAAGAAAGGTGTGCACGAGTGTGTGTGTGTGGGGGGCGGTGGGCAGCTGGGCCACCTGTTCTTTTTCAGGCTGTATCCCCTCTGCCCTGTGGGCATATGCACGTCTATGAGTATGTATGTGTGTCTGCATGTGTATCTGTGTTTATGCGTGTCTGTGCATGTGTGTCTATGTGTCTGCATGTGTATGCCTGTCTGCAGGTGTGTTTGTGTGTCTGTGTGGATGCATGTCTGTGCATGTGTGTGTGTGTCTGTTCATGTGTGTAGAGCATTGTGTGTTTGTGTGCAGGAGTCACACATTTACTATCAAACTGGAGGGGACCTCAGAATCGTTTATTCACCCACTCGTTCATTTATTCACTTCACAAATAATATCGACCACTTTTCATGGGTCAGTGCTAAGGAGCTAAAAATGAATGGACCATGTCCCTGACCTCCCGGAGGGGACGGTGCTGCTCTGGTTCCCAGCGGTTGGCATAGAGACACTCATCTCTCTGTGCGGTGAGCTGAAGACACCGTCCCACCCGCCCCCAGGGTTTGGGTCCAGTAGGGTTGGTTTCAGGGCGTGGAACTAGCCACCCCTAGGCCCTGGGTCGCTCTGACGTACGACACAGGTAACAGCACGCAGAGTCCGGTCGCCCCATGTTATGGAGGTGGAAGCCTGGTTTCAGGTGGACATGACTCGGCCCAGAACTGGCACTGAGCCCAATGGCCTTGGATGAGGTATTTGACCTGACTGGACGCGGATCCTTATTCTAAATCAAGAATGAAAGGCAGCGGGTGTCTGCCTGTGCGCGTGTGTAGAACAGTCGATGCTTCTTTGCTCATGAAGAACTGGCACCTCCTTTCACTTGGGCACGTGAGGCCTATGGAGCCAGGGGCTGGTGCCCAGGTCCTGGCCAGTGTTGCCAGGCTACTCATGCCAGAGGCCTGGCGGGTGGAGACTGGGCTGTTGGGCTGCAGTTATGGTGGGTGGCCACTGGGGGGCGGGCTTGCATCTTCCTGGCTTCTGAGCCCAGGTGCTGGCTGCAACACTGGGCTCAGGGATGGCAGGAAGCCAGCCTGTCCTGCCATCTACAGAACCAGGAGTGGCTCGGCCCAGGCCTCCCACATCCAAACCCGTCTCCACCACACAAAGGGTAGGGACTTTGACATCGTCCTGCAGATGAGAGGAAAAATTTTTCTGGAACCTTATAGGGACAGCCTAGAGCAGCGGTCACCAACGGGTGGTCCATAAGGTTCGAAAGGCTGGCCTGGAGCATCCCAAAGAATTGTCCCAAGTGACCTAGGAAAGTGAAAACAAGCCCAGTCCCGGTGTGGGGCAGGTCAGACCCTCCAGCCTACATTTGACCTTCTTGCCACCCCACCTGTCCTCCCCCTGAGACGAGCTGGGTGCTGCAAGCTGGCAGAGTGTGTTTGAGTCCTCCTTCCCATCCAGGGGAGCTCAGGCTCCAGGGCCCTGAGCTGTCCTGACCCGGGTGGGCCTGGACTCTTCCTGTCTCAGCATCGGTGAGGTCTGGCTTTCTGCTGATGACATCCTCCGTCTGTGGTTTGCCAGGCACCCAGGAAGAATAAAAGGTCACACGGCCTCAGCCTGGGTTTTTCCTCGGGGGGCTCAGAGTCATAGGGAGACAAGTGGGGTGCGTCGGGGTTGGAAAGAGCTGGGCTGGAGGGTGGGGGAGGCAGGTTGAGGAAGGCACAACCTAAGAGGGGCCCGAGGCCAGATCCCCGGACCTCACCGGAAGCCCAGGAGTGTGGCTTTCCAGCGGAAGAGGGACGTGCAGGGCTTGGAAACAGCCTAGGAGCCTTCTTTCAGAGGAAAAAACGACTCGAGTGAGTAAGGCCAACTGGCAAGATCCAATCGTGGCCTGGAGATGCTCTTGCTATTAGTGCAACTCTGCTGTGAGCCAAAATAAATTTAAAAAATGAAGGGGGTGGGGGGACAGCAGCCTGGAACCTGGGACAAGGTGGCGATCCCACACCTGGCCCTCCTCCTCCCTTGTTCTCCCCGCCCCCAGGTGCTCCCAGGGACTTACAGGTGTCCAGACTGCCTGCTCTCTCTCATTGCTCCTCCCACCTGTGCCTCCAGCTCTTCTGGATGCTGCATCCCTCACCATCAACTGTGGCTCGAACTGCACCTTCACCTGTCCCTCACACCTTCACCTGTCCCTCACACCTTCACCTGTCCCTCACACTTTCACCTGTCCCTCACACCTTCACCTGTCTCTCACACCTTCACCTGTTCCTCACACCTTCACCTGTCCCTCACACCTTCACCTGTCCCTTCCTACTCCGTCTCAGTAGTGAGAAGTGCTCTCTGCGTTCCTGAGCTGATCCCTCCCCTGAGCCCACACACAGCCCACCGGCTCCTCCATCACCATGATCTGTCTCCCTCGAGGGTCCTGGCTGCTCCTTGGGCCTAATCTCCACCCCCTTCACCTTCAAGTCTCCCCTTCACGAAGAAAAAGATGGTCTTTCTAGCCGTTTCCCTCCCTCACCTGGCTCCTGGCTCCCTCCCAGCCACAACTCGCTGAGAGGCTTCCACCTGCCCCTCCCTAAACTCCACCACCCAAGAGAGCACCTGGAGGACCCTCAATCGTCAAGGCCAGGGCCTTCTCAACCTTCCTCCTCCTTCCCTCTGTGACCTTTGGCCCCGTCGGCCATATGACGGGCAACCTGGGCAAGGCCATCGTTGGGGCCTGGGCAGCAGGCCCTGGAGCCGACTGCCCGGGAGCGAGTGCTAGCTGTCCCTGTGCCTGACCGGGGCCCAGTTACTTAGCTCCTGCGCTCCATCTGCTTCCCTATAAAACGGGCTAATAACACTGCTTACCTCGCGGGGTCCTGGAGGATTCGGTGAGGTGATGCACGTCGGCATCTGAGAACAATGCCTGGCACAGGAGGACGTGAGGCAGGTTAGCCATTAGTGCCCAGCCTCGCTGCCTCACCCACGCACCTGCCCCTCCTCTGGGCTCAGGCTCAGGCTCTGCCCTCAGACGTGTGAGTCCTCCTCGAGGCTAGGCCTTTGCACACGGCTCCTCCTGCCTGGATGCTGCAAATCGCACATCTCAACTCAGACGCACTTTAGCGGGAAAGGGCATCGACTGGCTTCAATAACTAGATGACCTGTGCTCAGGGCAGGTGAGGTGGCTCCATCTCCCAGGCTCCATCTTCCTGGCTCCATCTCCCAGGCGGAGGAGGCAGGGGTAGCCTCCTGGCACCAAAATGGCTCAGCGGCATCCCTCTCCTGTGCAGATCTAGCACAGACAATAGCTGCTCCTTGGAGCGTTCCTCTGAGCAGCCTACCCTGGGCCATGGCCCATCTCTGAGCCCATCACTAAGGTCAGGAGCTTCGGGTCATCAGAAGCCATCTTCTGAGATGGAAGTGGGACAGGGTGGAGGCAAACTCCCCAAAGGATAGGCCTGGGCCGGCTGTGGAGAAACTGTAAGTTCATGAGGAGTGGGAAGAGGAGAAGCCACTGTCGCCAGCGCCACCTCCCGCAGACAGCCTGCTTGAGCCCTGCTCCCAGCTGTTCTCTGTCATACCGCGTCTACAGCCCTCTTCCCCGCTCTGCTCCCAGGAGAGTGGAGCTCCTGAGGAGGGCACAGGCAGCCTGGCATCCCCTGGGCCCCATCGAGGGTGGAAAATGTGAGCCTCAAGTTTGTCCTCCCTCAGGCGTGGTGCCCCGGTGCTCCTGGTTCTACCTGCCTGTTTGTCTTCTGTCTCTCCTCCTCCTGGTCCTCCCACCCCTGAACTCAGCCCTTCCACAAGTCTGGCTGCCTGCAGGCCCTTGGGGAACTTCTGGGACTCTCCTAATCTCAGCCTTCGCCCCATCTTTGCTCTGAGGTCCGAGCTGGAGTTCTAACGCCTGCGGGATGTGGCCCCTCAACAAATCCTCCCGGAAATGGTCCGTTTCTGAACAGACGTTACTTCTCAGACCTCAGTCTGAACTTGGCATTGTCTGCTCTTGACCCCTGTGCATATGAATAGTTCTGCGGTGGTTTGCTCGCTGCTTTGAAAGACAGACGGCACACCAGGATGGCGAGGAGCTGGGGCCAGACCAGCCTCTCCTCACCTCGGTGTCGAGCTGGAAATGGTCCGTTTCTGTACAGACGTTACTTCTCAGACCTCAGTCTGACCTTGGCATTGTCTGCTCC